ACCTGTGTTCGGTCGGATTCGGTTCGGCTAGCCCTCCAACTGCTCTCTAGGCGTCTTTTCCGGCGTTTCATCTCTCTCAGCCCCTCGGTGAACCAAGGGGCCAGTTGAGACCTACGCCGGGTCAGAGGCCGCAGCGGCACGACTCGGTCCAGTGCTGCGGCTGCGGCCACATCCCAGGCCGCAGCCTGATGTTCCGCCGTACAGTACATTTATGCACAAATCCCATGCACATCTGTGTGGAAATAATTCTTATGAAATGCAATGAACTTAGCACCCAGGTAAATAGTTATAGGAGTTTTAAAAATTATTAGTCCTTCCAAATACATTGTGGTGGTTTCAAATGATTTGGAATTTGTTTTCAGTTTGGGTGGCTTCTTCTACTGGTATGCCTTCTACCTATCCTTATATTAGGGAATAGAAATTTAAGCAGAGACTTGTAGAATCATAGAACACAATAAATCTTGTAGAATTACTCCAAATGTCTGCCAAATGCAAGACTCCAGTATTATAGAATCTCTGACAGATGGCAATCCTGCATCTGTTGAAATACAACTAGCAAAGGAAAATCCACCACTTTCTGAAGCAGACTATCACAACATTGAACAGTTTTTAGCATTAGGATTTTTATTTTTATGTCCAAATAAAATGTACTTCCTTAAAAAAACAAACCATTTATTTTCCTGTGTTCTAGAACAATTATGAATAGTTCTGCTTTATGTTCTACATAAAGTCCTTCAAATACTTGAAAACAACAGTCAGGTCTTCCTACAACCTTCTCTTTTCCAGACTAAACATACCAAATATATCTGATTTTTTTTTTCTTCCAAGACTTTTACCATCTTGATTGGTCTCTGCTGAACAGATTCCAGTTTCTTAGTGTTTGTCCTAAAATGCAGTATCTAGATATGGATTCAGTATTTAACTACAATCTGATTAATGTAAAATAGAAAGGAACAATTAAATTTTCCTTATCTCAGTATAATATTTCTGTTAATGCAGTTTAGGATTGCATTTGCTTACCACCTTCCAGTTTGATCTGAAACCACCATATTTGCTCATCTAGCTCTGCATTTATGTATTTTAGTCAAATTTTGGTCTTTCCCCCTGGAATCTCATGGTTTTATCAAATGCATTGCATTTAGAGGTCCACTCTATAGCTGTACTCAGTTAAATTGGGCATTTTATTGTCTCTCCCCACTGATGGCATGAACAGAGGGGAGCATCTTTGATTGAAGTTTTCAGGAACTAGCGGTTCTTTGATTAGTGTTTCTACTTGAAGTAACAAAGTCTTTGAAGTAACAAAGCAAACTCTCCATGAGGAATGTAGAGTCTGATAAGAACTGGCTCAAATCTGTCAAGGACACTGACTTGAATTTTAGTAACTTGCAAGCTCATTATAGTGTGAGAAAAATATGTCCTGAATATCTAGATGAGTATTAATAACATCATATTAAGAAACCATGGAATGTTACATGTTACACCTGGATATGTGCATTGTGTCAGAAATGTTTCAAATGATGTTAACCAATGAAAGAATTCAATATATAAAGTAATTCTCCACCGTTCTAAGAGGCTCCTCTACAAGGTGAAGTACTCTCTTTGCTTATGTACATAAATAAGGAATTAATTTTTTTAGTCTACCTTTCCAGTTTGGGTAGGGCACAATGGCCTGGATGCATAATGGCTAATATAATAAAATGAAATCAGATTAATTTGGAATGATTTTTTCTTGATAAATCAATGCTGAGCTTATTAAGCAATAAATTATTTTCTAAATGCT